TATGAACATGGACACAATATCTTGACCGTGTTTTGAAAATGAAAACATTATATAACGACATACATGCAACAAACTATTTCTCGTTAACAGTTAATATATTTTAACCTTGAAAATGGCTAACTGTATAGTCGAAAGCGCTCGGATAAAAAGAACATTCGGACAGTTTTTTATATAATTTATCATCTGAAAAAAAAAAAAAATTAGATCACATGAGAAATTGTATAAAAAAACTAAATCAAATCACATTGTCTGTCTTATTCAATGATATATATATATATATATATATATATATATATATAATTCAGTTATTTGTTTGGATAAGTTTTGTTCTTATGTACATCGTCTTTGTCATGTTGTATTGATAATGTTATATTTATGAATATGTCCTGAAGATGGTTTATTAGACCGAAACGTCAGACGTTGACATATTAACATTAAAACAGCATAATTGTATATAAGGATTTTTATTTGTTTTTTCCGTATATATTTTTCTTCATACTGTCGGATCTATATCCATATATTTGCTTACACACACACACACACACACACACACACACACACACACACACACACATATATATATATATATATATATATATATATATATATATATAGTGGCTATTTATGTTCAATTAGCACGAATACTTTTCGGAAAGGCATACCTCTCTAACCGTTGTGCCAGATATCTTGATAAGATATCTCCTTATTGACATTTGATAGCTGATAGATAGAGTGAATAAGCTAGCATTTAGTCAAACGACTCTCCTATAACGTACTTATCAGCCTAAGTAGTAGCAAACCCAATAGGTAAAAAAGACGATTTTACTGTTTAACGGTTAAAAAAAGAAGTCTTCAAGCAAAAATTAAAATATTCAAGTAACCCCAGTTTTGGAAAATGGCAGACTGTTTGGAGAAATTTAAGATCTGAAAGGCCGAAGATGTGAAAGGCCCTGAAAACTGTAATAATTGGAAAATATACTTAAAAAACACACATTAGGAAACTTTCCGATAGTAAAGACTTAATAAAATATCCCATCCTGTTTGACGGCATAGATAAACTAGTAATAATATAAATAAAAATAAAAATAAAAGCACATTTTTATTTTTTTAATCTGAGAATCTGAAGAGCATTTAATTTTTTCGTAATTTTAAATGCATACTGACGTTTGAAGAATGCATCAAATGTTCTCTACCCTAGTTGCTTAAGTGACAGCGTGTTAAAATCAGTGTATGTGTCTAGAGAAGGAAATGGACTGCCTTCATTATCTTCTTATAAAATACAGGCTGTCCCAAAAGTGAGTTAGGTATTTAAAAAATGTGATAACGTGTCAGATATTTCATAAATTTTAGAACTTAGATTATTGCTTCTTAACCTTCTTTTACTTGTTCGCATCCCTTTCAAATTATCACCCATTTTTTGCACTACCTTCAAGAAATGATGGAAAACAATACTGATCTCATTAAATAACAAAACCATTGCGTTTCTTTAATCTTTATTCATTAAACTGACAACAAAATAATACATTAGAAAAACCCAAACTACTTTCAAATTAGCAAAAGAATAAAATATAAAATCACGCTATTATGATGGTAACAATTTGGTAAAATTTCTACAATGTAAACCGTTTCAGATCACCAGACACTACACTAGAGTTTTCTTAATAGACCAATCCTAATGATTCCGTATCCTCTCACCCTTAGTAACCGATATCGCACCCCTAGAAGGTGTGAGCAACCCTGGTTAAGAATCATGAGACTTAGATTAACATAAGGAAATTACCCATGAAATACTTTACAACAATTTAAAACAAATAACGAAAATCGTAGAATTTTATTTTAACATGATTATCGTTTTGTAACCAAAGCAGATACTGCCAACAATTCCATGGCAGGAAGCCACAATTTGATTTCATACTTCATTGGTAGATTCAACATTTTGGCCAATATGGCTGTACAGTTGACTTACGGAAGGTCATATATACACTGTTTGCAGATAAACTATGAACATGTGCGAGACTCTTTTAAACAAGAACCAGGAATATCAATTGACAAACATCCTGGCAAGTTAAAGATGCCTCAGATGTCCTTACCTTGCATACTAAGAGACAATTTGCACCTGTACCCATACAAAGTGCAATTTGTAGAGAAGTTGCAGCTGTTCATTAAACAATGCTTAAATTACTTAGTCCAATTTCAGAGACTGGCTAATGAAGATATTGAAATTTGTTCATTAGCTGAGTATAGGTGACAAAGCTCATTTCCCTTTGAATGGATTTTCGTTCTTTTCTCTCTTGTGCATTTTCTCATGAGTAATTCCCCATTGTTAATTGAAGTTCTGAAGAAAAAAAATAAGACGGATAAAAAATCTAACATTTTATGACATTTCTAAATACCAAGGTGACTTTAGGGACATCTGGTATAACATCTTAATCAATTTATACATTTTATTGTGTATTAGCTTACTCAGATTATATTCTAAGCGCTTCTAATTTTGTATACACAAAATGGCAAATATATATGAGTATGTTAACTCTGTAAATAGCCTTGTCAGATTGAGACTTTCATAAGGATGTCATTGATGGCTCCAAACCCGTTCAGAAATATTTGAACTGTCAGCTGTATACCACAGATTTTTAAGTTCAATGGTTAAAAATGGTTTTGAGCGAGTGAAGTCCGTGACTCTTGTCGAAGACCATATTTCTTTAAATATTGTGGACTGGAGCTACAGAATCGCAAACAAAAAAGCGTACTAAATAACAAAAACACTTTCAACAGCTAAAATGGATAGCACATATAAGTCAAAGAGAAAATAATGACATAAGATGTTAACATTCCACACTATTTCATATGGAAGATAAGGAAGGAACCCCCGACTGCATTAATACTGGAAAGAAAGATAACAGCTATTGGGGTGGAAAAAACGTATTTTCCCGAAAACTTGTTTTAAGACAAAGATTTTATTAAATTATAACTGACAGCATTACTGGCTGGCGGGCCAATGTATGCCGAATGTTTCCTTGTAAGGAAACTACTATTACCGTCATTATAATTATCGTAGGGCTACGCCCTCTCTAAGCTGGGCGTTGTCGCTCTAGCTTCAATAACACATTGGTTTTTACGGGGCGGAGTTGCAAGCCACACACCCACACTTTTTGGAATTCAAATTTTTTCATCGGGATTGGTTTACAAACCAAAACTAGAGAAACCAGACTACACTGTTATTTAACCCCTAGCTGGGAGCACAACAGCTAGATTCATTCAAGGTATTTGTACAAATCCAACTTGCTGTGTCGGTAACCGCTACGCTACCCACACACTGTAATTACGTGAGGGTGCGGGCAAAATGAAAACAGCATTCAGACTAATGAAAAACACAATACTTGAATCTTTCATATTTAACGTCACATTTTATTTCACTTCAATAATTCGTTAGTTACTGTCGGCCATTTTCTGGTGTGAGCAACCCTGGACGCCTCGTGTCTGATACATTGTCCTTATATTCGGTCTGCGATGTCGAATTTCCACCTGAAGCGCTTGCTTACATCTCTCCAAAGGTCTTGTTTGCATCTCTCCGATGATTTTGGTTCCACGTGCGCATAACACGTACAGTCAAGCCTACAGGTGTTCACCTTTTGGGTTAACATCGACATTGAGTGACTTACGGATCATCCTCTCTCCCTGCACTTGACTTCCTGGATAGTCTGTTATGAAACTAAATCAGGCATGATCCGGGGTGACACACACACACATAACAACATCAATAAATATAATTTTATCTATACTATAAATGGTTGTTCCGATTATATACACATCAGATTACATCTAACTGACGAGGCAGTAAGTGAGGCAGCAAAAACAGACCATGAAGTAATTTTGTTCACGATAGTTCAGTTAAGCTACTTACTGTCAGGGAAAAAAAATGAAACATGACGAATACATTATGTTTATTTTGGTTTTCAAACCGAGGCTAAAACAAACTAATGAAAAAGATTGATACACCGATAAAAAAAAAATTGCTAAAAGAGAATTATTCTTACGACTCTGCCTTATTAATTGATTAATACATTTTCTATAGTTTATAAATCCTTTGCAGGTAGGTCATTTCAAGTCAGAAAATATTTTCAAATTGTAAGAATATTTAGGAGATAATAATGATTTAGTGATACAAGTCTTACTAATTAACCCATAGCTGAGGAGAGAACTGGATTCCTACCTAATCAGAATTTGATAAACAAAAAAAAAATTATAATGTGGATATAAAGTGGGATTCAATTTTATATTACAATCAATATATAAACTGATCCCTCACTTTTTATTTTCCATACATTTATATTCCAGATAATGTAAATGAATCTGAAAGACATGCCAGTGTAGCTAATCATTATTTCATTGATTGATACATTCGTTTTTTACGGCTTATCGACCTTTTGCAGGTTACTCAAAGCCAGAAAAATATTTTTAGATTGTAAGAATTGTTTTTGAAATAATAATGTTTTAGTGATACAATTTTTACTAATTAACCCATAACTGGGGGAGAAAGAGGGGGGATTCATACCTTCCTCAACAAGAATTTGAGCCCGGCTCCACGATTAACAACTCCGAGCCATTATCCATTGCATCCAAGGCGCAGTGGAGTAATGCTTAGCGGGTCGGATTGATGAATCAGAGAACCGAGTTCCAATTCTCGTTCAAGTCCTTTACTTTCATTTTCGTGTTAATACCCCTGGGAAAAGTATTAATCCGTCTCTTCTCAACCCAGCTATGGTTAAAATAACACGAAGTCTGCGTCCTATAGCCTTCGGTGGGAACCACTATAGGAGAAGGAAATTTTGAATTAAAATCGGATCGCACTATCCTAAAAGTGTATACATGTGGCTGGGGGATTGCTTGTGAATCCAAATTTCCGCTGAAACTGCTATTATTAGGACGTGTCTTTGGATGCGGCGTTAAAAGGAGCTCAATGTTTCATAGGAAACGAGAGGACCTAATTATCATCCAAGCTTACAGCACTTTGTATTCCCAAGCAGTCACTCATCTAGGTACTGACCAGGCTCGACATTTCTTAACTTCGGTGATTGTACGGGAACCGGCGTTTCAACGTGATGTGACCATAAGCCGTTTCTAGTTTAAATCTTACTTATTATAAAACGCAGAATGTGTGTGTGTGTGTCTGTACGTTTATATATTGGATCGGATTTCCTACATTTTTCGACTGATTTCAACAAAACTTCACAGGACTACGTGAAATTACCTTGCGGTGGTTCTGACAGCGCCAAAAATTGGAAAAACACAATTGTTTTTGCACAAAATCAATTTGAAAACACGATTCGGTCGCCAGAATGAAAGGGGGACAACTCATATCGAGTTATACTTATTATAAAACTCAGGTTGTTTGTTTTTGTGTGTGTGTGTGTGTGTGTGTGTGTGTGTGTGTGTGTGTGTGTGTGTGTGTGTTGTTTGTTTATATATGGGATCGGATTTCCTACATTTTTTAACCGATTTCAACAAAACTTCACTTTTTTTTCGCAGGTAGTGTTTCTTATTGTCTTGCACACTTTTTTCTTTATTTTTACATTCAGAATGCTTTAAAAATTCCATTTTGCAAGACAATTGTTTAAAATAAAATTCTATTCAATCGGTAGACTCATAATGATTGAAAACAATGTTTTTGTTTGAGTTTGGGTTTGACCAATTCGTTAAAAAAAACAAAAAACAAAACAAAAAAAAACAAAAAAATACAAATTAAGACATGCGTGTCCGTCAACCTTAAACAATAATCTTTGTCAATTTTATTTTTCAGTCTTTATGATGGTCGATACTTGATCTATCTCTTACTGTTACATCCCCGGGCAATGCCGGGCTCTACTGCTAGTATCAAATAATGGGTTGATAAACTATAAAAAAAGAAACCAACCTATCAACCAAACAAAATTCTATGAAAGTTACCCGTATCAACAGACACTTGAAAAGGCAATATCACTGATCATTTTGATAACAACAAAGATGAGGACATTAGTCTGAATGCAGAAAATGACAAAAATCTGTAAATTCTTCCTGTAAATTCTTTCATTTTCTTTTTCCTTCATTAGTCTTCGGAGTTATTGACGTGTTTACGTGCTTGAAACTGGGTTAGACATGGTGTAAATATTTGTGAAAAAAGAAAAATGAAACATCAGACCGTAATATGATTATCAACTTGCGAAAAGTTAATTCCTCAACCAGATAATGAGAGAATTTGCCGACGTTGTTAAATATATTATCTTGGGACAACAGGAAGAAACTCTTCTGATATTCTTACATTAAACAAATTTTGTTTAAACTTCTAAAAACAAAACCGAAAAAAAAAAAAAGACCAACACCTTTTGAAAATTACATTTAAATAAATGTCATCTTTGGACGCATCTATTTTTTGATTAATTTGTCAGGTGATCAAAACTTCAATCTGTTTATCGATTGCTCAGTTCGATCGTTCAGTCTTTGTTTTTTGATTGATCATTTGGCTTTTGATTTGGGTAATCCGTCATTTCAAAATCTTACTATCTTCTAAATGGACTCTCCCAAATTGTGGCGGGCCAACCTTCACTGCCCTCCACGAGTAAATCTATATCTTTAAATGTATGAAGGGAAATAATAAATATTTCTGATGGGATCTTCGACGGGGGAGTAATTTTATTCCCCCCCCACCCCAGGCAAAGCGATGAAAGGCCCTATGATGCAAGCGGTTAGTGAGCCAGAAAGAAATAGAGAGGACAAAAAAAGAACAGAATTTAATCAGACAGCAGATGATGATTGACGTTGTATTAAAAGATCGTAGTTCATAGAAATGCAAGAAGCCGGAAGAGAATTTCACAAGCGAGAAACGCAGGAGAAGAAAACTGTTAGCTTAGAACTTATGTGTACAAATAGCAATTTCAATAGTGAAATGATTAGACCTATCTGCTAATCTAGTACTGCGTTTATATTCGTGAAATCGTCACACCAAAGAGGAAGGCTGATCAGAACAACTACTGTGAAAATAAGCATGGAAAATGCTCAAGAGAAATACGTTGCGGTGGTGGGAAAACAAGTGAAGCTGAGATGCCATATAAGGGCCGATATTATTGCAGATTCATCTTTGATCTTTCTCTGGATATATAGCATACGCACCAGACCAGGTGTGGCAAAAATATTCGACGAATTGTAGACATAAATTTGGAACACAGATTCTGGCGAGAAAAATTTTCAAGTTCGAAATAGTGAGACAAAATCCCTAGCAGCAGACTTAGCAATTGATTCAATATAATCGTCCCATTTAATGTCAGAGAAAAATGTGAGGCTGAGAAGGCGCAATGTGTTGCTCTGTTGTAGGTTAACATCAGCCATGTTGATGGAAAGCAAAAAGATTTCCCTAAGATGACTAAAGGAGAACAGTTTCATTTTAGAAGCATTAAAATTAACAAGCCATTTCTTGCTCCAGTTAACAACAGATGTAAGATTATGGTTAGCAAGCTTGTCTCGCTAGTTCAGTTACGACTGAGTAGTGAGTTCGGATTTCATTGAGTACTCCATACTTTCGGCCTTGTGCCACATTTAATCTACCCTTAGTCATAACATAAGCAATTATGAGAGGATAGAATTATGAAGTTGCTTGAAAAATAATGGAAGAACGTAAGAAGCAAAAAAGTAAGCGTGTAGTTCAATAAATTAATGCTGTGAATTTTAAAAAAAAGTTGTTTTTACTTAATTAATCGAACGATCGATTTAGGATAACCCTTAAAAAATGACGTTTTATCTATTTTAGACCAGTGTATCTCAACGTTTTAAGCAACGGCACACCTAGGAGTAAATGAAAGTATCACGACACAGGAACATTTTTAAAGAGTATACATTCAAATGATATGAAATAAAACCATGCATTTGAAAAAAAAAAAATACACACACAAATATGAACTTTACGTTGATTTTTCTATTTATGCAGTTTATTTAGTGTGAAACCTGTGCCTTTCTTCAATGTTTGGCCGAAGAATAGTGAAAAGAATTATTTGAAAAAAAGTTTATTACTTATTCAAATACTAAAGCTGTACCATTACTACTTACACACACACACACACACACACATATAGTGATTTTCCAAGCATAGCTTAGATGAGGCACAAGGCCGGAAGTATGGGGTACCCAGTGAGGATCGAACAGACTTCTCAGTAGTAATTGTTCTAGCGATACAAGCTTGCTATCCATTACAGTGATTTTCCAAGCGTAGCTTAGATATGGCACAAGGCCGAAAGTATGGGGCACCTAGTGAGGATCGAATTCACTACTCAGTCGTAATTGTCAAGCTTGCTAACCATTACACCGCCTTGAGGTGCCCAACAGTGATTTTCCAAGCGTAGCTTAGATATGGCACAAGGCTGAAAGTACGGGGCACCCAGTGAGGATCGAACTCACTACTCAGTCGTAATTGTTCTAGCGAGACAAGCTTGCTAACCATTACACCAAATCAAGGTGCCCTGTTATTTTCTAAGCGTAGCTTAGATGTGGCACAAGGCCTAAAGTAAGAGACACCTAGTGAGGATCGAACTCACTTTTCAGTCGTAACTGATCTAGCGAGACAAGCTTGCTACCCATTACAACGCCTCGAGGTGCCCAATACATATATATATGTATGCTGTGACAAGATTTCGCGGCACACTTAAGTGGATCGCGCGGCACACTCGTGTGACGTGGCATGGCGGTTGAGATTCACAGATTTAGATTAATGTCTCCATCCTGGTTGTTAGTGTCAATATTTTTGATCGCTGTGTCTCCGGATTTCTTAAAGTATCGGTTATATTCGGTAATTTCCAACGTCTAACATTTCTTATATTTAGTCTGTTTCTATCATCCATCTTTGTGGCGATCTCGTGTCAATCTTATTATACATTGTTAATTTGTCTTTGCTTTCTCCGGCCTTTTGACCTTTTTCTTCTGATTCTGGGTTCACGTTTGGTTTGGAATTGTCAATATACTTCCTCATTTTTATTTATCGTTATAGACATTATTCTATAGACGGCGTTTCGGATAAATCATTTTCTTTTAATCATTTACTCAGACGCAGTGTGAGTGAAATTTTGACTCGTTGTCTCTGCAATAGTGTTGGGATCCAGTGACGTCACGGAACGCAATAAGATGTTGTCATAACGTCACATATTCTTATCAGCGGAAATATGCACGGTATACAGATTTTTAAATATTAAAATATTTTAAAAATTAAAATATTAATACTTGGCTTCACGTGTATCCTTTTTTAATCAAGTATTAAAAATAAACGCCTCATTAGAATGGAGTGTTGTATAATTGAAGCAACCTCAGTGTAGAATTTCGCGGTTATGCTTTTAATTTGGAAATTGTTTTTAATAAAAGAAAATAAAGGCATGTAAATTAACTGATTAGGAATTTAGATTATTTTGAAAGCATTAATTCTAGAAACTTCCATGCCATTCCGAATTCATGCTCTAAATAATTCCAATATCTGTTCAGTATTTAACGACACAGAATATATGGTTGCCAACAAATGAAAAAGCCCCACAATGCGAACTGCATCTGGCGAATGTTTAACAGAAAATGCGACACCGAAATTTGAACGATGCAATACAAAACTAAGCAACGTACTAAAAAAGAGGAAAAAAATCGTTAGAATAAACGAAAAGAATACTGAGATGCAGTGTAATATCAATCCTGCTCTATCGAGGTGGGTGTTTGACAATATCCACACAGATGAAGAGAAAATTTGAGGCAACAGTAATGTGGTCCTACAGAAGGATGATGAGAATACTATGGACGTAGCGTTTAAAGAACGATGGGACTTTTAAGTAAAATGAAAAAAAAAGAACACTTTATAGTGTTCACATTGTACAAGCCCCAAGAGTAAAAGGCACAGTTTATGGGGATATCTGGGTGTTACGTGTTGATAATTGTAACAAAGAAAACAAAATGATTTACCACAACACAGAGCTAAATCACAAACAAATATTTAATTTACTAAAACAGAACATAAAATATATACAAGATAAACAATTGTGGCCTACAAAACAGAAAACACAGAGTTACTGGCAAGTGTTACGAGGGAGAAGGAAAGGGAATCAAATATCTTAAATC